GCCCTTCACGTTTGGAAAGACTAACGTAACGGCGCTTTGTTACCGATTTTGCTCGTCACGGGGGCTGGCTCAATAACTTATAACACTTTACATATATTTTAGTTTATTCATTTCTTATGACTGTATCAAATAGCATGTTGGCCATTTTCAATATTTTAAGTGAACATTGTCTCTTTACTTCTAGCGACGCGTCAAAGGAGACACAAGTTTCAATGTAAGCTGGGACTCGTATAAACAAGGATTCGGCTCACTGCAGGGAGATTTCTGGCTTGGTAATGACGTCATTTCCAACTTGACCCGAACGGTAATCGCCAGGAAATGATGTTGTTGGTTGTTTGTTTTTTTTTGGGGGGGGGGGGTATGTTGCTTTTTTATAATTAAAATAATAATAATAATTTATTTTTTTTACTTTTATTTTTTTTTATATTTTGTTTCTTTTTGTCATCTTATTTCTTCTTTATTCACTGCCTCAAAATGATAATGATGTTGTTGGTTGTTTGTTTTTTTTTGGGGGGGGGGGTATGTTGCTTTTTTATAATTAAAATAATAATAATAATTTATTTTTTTTACTTTTATTTTCTTTTATATTTTGTTTCATCTTGTCATCGTAGTTCTTCATTATTCACTGCCTCAAAATGATGACTTTTCACAATTACTACACGCTTTTTATTCAAATTTAAAATTATTTTATTTAAAATTATCTGCAGCAGACCACATGTCATTTTTTTATGTTCAGATCGTCTTTCGTAAATGTCATTAAATGTTACCTATATATTTCCAACAATACAAATTCCGTAATATAATAAATTCTATAAAACAAAATAACTTATATATTTTTATTTGATTTTATTTGTTATAAAGAAGAGAGTCGATTATCCGAAATAATTTGCACTCGGAGCTGTTGATAGTGAGGGTTTTAATTCACGTTTTTTATTTTTTTTTTTTTTAACAGGATGATTACATGCTAAGAATAGACATGACGTGTGTTAATGTGGATTTGCACGCCATCTACAATTACTTCAAAGTTGAGGACGAGACCCAGCTGTACACGCTACGTCTTGGTGCGTACTCTGGAAATGCCACTGATCGGCTCAGCTACAACAAGGATCAGACATTTACCACACTGGACAGGGACAATGACAAGCATGCAGATATTAATTGTGCAAATAATAGATATCACAATTCAGGCTGGTGGCACAGGGACTGCAGTTTGTCAAATCTGAACGGTGTGTGGGGGAGCCAGACCAATAATTTGATCTATTGGGATCAGCAGAAGCAGAATAGGGAGTGTTCATTTGTTGAAATGAAAATTCGAAAGAAATAATTTCTAATTTGGTGGATTTAAAAAAAAAAATTGTATTATTATATTCAAAGACTTAAAAATTTAATGCATAAATTTATAACAATAAATTAGTCAAGATAATGTTTCTTTCGGATGAACGTTTCCTGAATCTGAGTAGAAAGAATTCAGCCTAAATTATACCAAACAATTCCACTTCTTTCCCAAGGCGTGTTGCCCCACTCTTTTACCACATATTTGCCCTACTCTTCTACTAGCTTTGTCATCTTACTCTTCTGCCAGCTCTGTCGTCTTACTCTCCTACCAGCTTAGTCGTCTTACTCTTCTACCGACTATGTCGTCTTTCTGTTCTACCCCATTTTTTGCCCTACTCTTCTACAAGCTATGTCGTCTTACTCTTCTACCAGCTATGTCGTCTTACTCTTCTGTCAGCTATATTGGCCCACTCTTTTACAATTTATATTTACCTACTTTTTTTTACCAGCCATGTTGCCCCATTGTTGCAGCAGATATGTTGCCTTAGTCTTCTATCAGCTATGTTGCCCTACTCTTTAACCAGCTACGTTGACCTACATTTCTATCAAATATGGTGCCCTTCTCTTCCACCAACTGCGTTGCCGTACTCTTCTATCCTCTATGTTTTGTCTTCTCCCTGATGTGTTGCCCTTCTCCTGTTAAAAAGTATATGTTGCCTTCAACCAGCTATGCTGGCCTACGCTTGTATCGGCTATGCTTCCCCCAATCTTCTACCAACTATGTTGCCCTACGCTTCTACCAGCTGTTGCACACTCTATTCTAACAGCTATATTGCTGATACACGCTATTTTATTTCCTATTTAATAAGATGGGTAAGGGAAAAAAATAATAGACACGATTCTTTAAACACTTAACACCCCTCAACAATCACCACCCCCACCCACCCCACCCCCCACCCCAAAAAAAAACAAAAAAACCTTTTTTTTTAAAAACTGATAAAAGAAGTAACCTATATAGTTTGCATGCATTATATTTTGAGTCATTTCAACGAATCAACTGCACATAAATATTGATGATAATTTAAAGCATGTGGTAGAACACAACATATTGCGTCAAAATTGTACATAAAGGGCAGACAACCAATAGCGCGACTCAACGATCGTTAAGACTCAATGCTGACAACCTACCGATTTATCCGTGCAACCAAACACTTTTATAAAATGTACATTTTATTATTTTTTTAAATTTTTCCGGGACACGGGGAGCAGCTGGAGCTAAAAAAAAACTTTGCCTTGAGCGGAGCTAGGCCACGTTAAGCCTGCTTCAAAACCCTGGTGTTGACCCTTTGGATGATTGAAGTGCAAGAAGACCACTATTTCATATCCACCTGTTAGGAACACGCGTAGCCTCCCTTGCTTAGCGTCAACTCTATTCAAGGAGATTCGGTGTTTAGTGAATTTCCAAATTATGTTGCACTTTATAAATAAATAAATTGTTTTTTTTAATGTTTTTTTTTTTATAATAACTTCTAGTTGTTTCAAAAAATCATTTGTTCTCAGTATATATGTACACAATATTAAACTTCTCTTTTATCAGCGTCTTGTATTTTTTTCTTGCCATGTCTTTAGAATTCTTTTCATAGATTCTGATTCAAAAATAGTTCATGTTACTGGAAATGTTTTGTTTTAAAAAAGAAAAACTTTAGTGTAAGTAACAATAGCGTCCAGTAAGAAATATAATGGGGGATGTCCAAGGAGGCCAAAACTTTTTAGGAGTTTTTCTTAATTTCGGTCTCAATTTTATACATAACTTCTCAATTTATTATGTGGTATTTTGAGCTGGTCCTTATGCCTCGCTATGACAATGCACACAGTATTCCGTTTGCATTGCCCCATCAGCCTCGATGTCTCACATGAGCTCAACAGGCTTACATACTCTCTCATATGTTCTTTTTTTTCATAGCTGAGACTAATTTTTCCATTTCTATCTACAGCAAATTTAGATATATTGAGAGAGAAATATTTATTTAAAAAAAATCACAGATTAAATTAAAAGAAGCCAAAGATACTATTGCGAGTGAACGTTTCAGATATTTCTTATAAGGATCCCAGGATCTCATGTGAGAAGCCCTGGTCAAAATCCCCCCAAAAAAGACTGCCGTAAATCAAGGCATTAACAAATTCAGTACAATAACATTTATAAGGAAGTGCCGCTCTTGTAGTGAAAAGTTTTTTTAAAAAGATTTTTTCAGACCTATAAGGAATACTACAATCCCAGTGTTTGTAAAGCTAACAACGAAAGATGTTTTTCGTAATTAAAACAGTTGAATTACAATCAATCTAACTAGATTTACAATTAGATGGCATATATTGTATTTATTTTATGTCTGCCTATTAATATCAGCAACTATTGGATGAAACGACAATTGAATCAACAATGGAATCAGCTTAAGAAAACTAAACAGAAGCAATGTAGAATGTCAGTTGTTTTCAATAAATGAAATTAACAGATAGTGTTTATTCTCTATTAGGCGTTTCTACTTTTCGTCTTTGTCATTGGGTGTCTAGGAAGTAACTAGGAAGTGTGTAGGAAGTATCTAGGAGGTATCAAGGAAGTATCTAGAAATTATCAATGAATTATCTAGGAAATGTTTAGGAAGTATCTAGGAAGTGTGTAGAAAGTATCTAGGAAACATCTAGTATGTTTGATGAGGGTCTATAGAACAATGACCACATTTACACTGGTTTAAAGAAGTCATATAATTACAGACCCATCCCTCCCCACACCCAAGGCAGTGACCCGAGTCTGTTAAATCTGTATGTGAAAGTTAGTTTCTCGTGAGATAGAAGAAGTGCTATCAATAGAGTCCTTCCATGTGGCCTGAAGAAGTGCTATCAATAGAGTCATTCCATGTGGCCTGAACAAGTGCTATCAATAGAGTCATTCCATGTGGACTGAACAAGTGCTATCAATAGAGTCATTCCATGTGGACTGAAGAAGTGCTATCAATAGAGTCCTTCCATGTGGCCTGAACAAGTGCTATCAATAGAGTCCTTCCATGTGGACTGAAGAGGTGCTATCAATAGAGTCATTCCATGTGGACTGAACAAGTGCTATCAATAGAGTCCTTCCATGTGGACTGAAGAAGTGCTATCAATAGAGTCATTCCATGTGGCCTGAACAAGTGCTATCAATAGAGTCATTCCATGTGGCCTGAAGAAGTGCTATCAATAGAGTCATTCCATGTGGACTGAAGAAGTGCTATCAATAGAGTCATTCCATGTGGACTGAAGAAGTGCTATCAATAGAGTCATTCCATGTGGACTGAAGAAGTGCTATCAATAGAGTCATTCCATGTGGACTGAAGAAGTGCTATCAATAGAGTCATTCCATGTGGACTGAAGAAGTGCTATCAATAGAGTCATTCCATGTGGACTGAAGAAGTGCTATCAATAGAGTCATTCCATGTGGACTGAAGAAGTGCTATCAATAGAGTCATTCCATGTGGACTGAACAAGTGCTATCAATAGAGTCATTCCATGTGGCCTGAACAAGTGCTATCAAAAGAGTCATTCCATGTGGCCTGAAGTAAAAATTCTCGTTTGGTTGTTGGCATGAAATGATTCTATCCCCACAAACATGTTAAAACAATCTACTAAAACTAACATTTTCATTCACTCAGACTTTCTACATATTAAGATAATCTTATAAATGTGAGGCGGATAAAATGTCAAATATTTTATTGCACTTATAACACTCAATCTTATATTTCATTCAAGTATTTCAGAGGTGATCACTACTTATTTGTAAAACTAAGTATATTTATTGATACAATTTTGATTAAATTTTAAAGTAAAAATAAAATTGCATTCACAAAATTTGTCAGCTACACATAAAAAAATCATAAATGCATTACCTTTCAATCTATAGCAGGCCTGCACAACTCAAAATGTAAGGCGGGCCGTAGTATTTTATGAAAAACTTGTGCAGGCCAAAAGGAAATAGGACAAGACTTCTGCGGGCCAAAAGAATATAGGTCATGAGGAAAGCTACTAAGAAAATAAGAAGAATAAAAAATATTACGTTACTTCAGGGGCCGCAAAGTGGGTGCTGGCGGCCACATGCGGTCCGCATGTTGTGCAGGCCTGATAAGTGTTCTCTTTATGTCCATTTATTCCATCATAAACAGAGTTTCCATGAATAGTTTCTATAGCAGCCACTTAAGGTAACATCCATAAAGTATGTCAAACAGCTTTGGAAATTTTTTTTACACCCCTTCTCCATCTTGACAAATTGTCATAATAACATAGACACTGTTTTCAAACATAGTCACAAATTGTCATAATAAAATATACAATGTTGTCAAAAATAGTCACAAATTGTCATAATAAAATATAAATGGTAGTCAAACATAGTCCCAAATATAAAATCTGCCCCACCCCCTCCCGCCCCCCTCAGGAGCATGACATCAATTTTGGATGGCCCCAAAGTAAACAAGTGTTAGCTCACGACATATCAGCCTGGCATGTCCTACAATAAATTCATAAAACCTGCAATAAAAACAATCTCACATTTTATAACAACTGCATTTGTACAGCTTGTGGTTCTTGTGTGATTATCAAGTGGAGAGTTCAATAAATGAATTTGATTAACAATACATCTCTGAAGTTTGGTAAAAATACATTCACAAAATTAATTTCCACTTAAGAAGTGGATCAAACTCGCATACATTTGTTTAATTATAAAAAATTAGTCTTTTTATTTACATTGTGACATACAATTGGAATTGAAAGCTCTCAAGGGTCTAAACTATTGGAATTGAAAAGCTCTCAAAGGACAAAACTTTTGGAATTGAAAGCCCTCAAGGGACAAACCTTTTGAAACACTGGGTTATTTAAAAATACATTTTTTTTTTAAAATGCAGGACAAATTTTTTGAATCGTTTAAATTAAATGAGGGTGAACTAAGGTTCAAAAATTGGTTTCAAAGCTGCGATCAGATTATGAAATGTCAACATTGACAAGCGGAAACATCTTACAACACTATAATAAAAAAAAGTCCAATTTGTTAAACATTCATTTCCAATATTCAGCAGTTAAAGGAATAATCCAAATACATCAGGGAATTTTTGATAATGTAAAATATATCTTTAGTCAAAGAGTGGTACATTGATTTTCTAACAAAGTTCAACAACTTGATTGAGCAGCCATCTCCGCTGATGCCAACGGCACAGAAACTAAAACACAAGTTAAAGCTTACATCAGTTTTTAAGAGTATAAAAATCTAAGTGTCACTCAGATATGAAAAGCCATTTAATTTATTTCTGGTATTGTGCTTTTTAATTGTGCCAATATCAGTTTTAGAGACACTTCATGTCAATTCAACTAAAGTTTTAAAACAATGCCCTTGGTCTAACATCACAAAAATATATGATATGTCACAGATGACCAACAAGTTTCAATGATGCAATAAAATTATGCCATGTGGTTAAACTGAAATCTGGAACGTATCATTGGTGACTCACATATAGCCAGCATCCATAAACAAGTCCAGAATCTAAATATAAGACCAGCATCCACAAATAAATCCAGTATCCACAAATGAATCAAGCATCCACAAATAAGAATAGCATCCATAAGTAAGAACAGCATCCATAAATACAGTGGTTGTTCATAGTTAAGTAATGCAATGTGTCCCCCTTTAACTTAATTTGAGAGGTTAAGAGCAGATTGGTTCTTTGATCTCTACAAATGGCCAGTCAAGAGCAGACAGAGACGAGATCCCAATACAACCTGGAGTCTGTCATTTTAACAGGTTAAGTACACATAAAATACCACAAGTCAATATCATTCCGAATATTCTGGAGGCGGGGTGTTGTTTACAGTGGCATCTGCGCGATCTGGTGCTGGTGGCGGTGGTGGTAGAAGTGGTGAGCTGCGATTGCCGACCAGTTCCTTGTGAGGCATCCTGGACCAGGGCATTTCCTCCCCTTTAGCAAAAATGTTATAGAAAATGGCACCAAAGAAGTACATGCAAGATGTGATGTAGAAAATAATTCTCCACTGACCTCGGGTTTGCTGCAAAACAAGAACAAACAAGCAAAATTGAATTTATTTATTGAATGCAGACAATAAAGTGAAGTACTATTACTATTTAAATTTTGTAATGTTCTTTGAACAAAGGTCTCCATGGTGAATGAATGCAATATGAATAGACTGAATCAATGAATTGAAAATTACTATTAAAAAAAACACAAAGTATAATGAGATGAAATATTCATTGCTTTGTGTTTACCTTTGCATTGGTCATGACTGCCCCCCCACTGTGTTAAACCCCTACCAGCACAATTTCTACCTAATCTTCAAAATACCAACAGGAAAACTTACATTGTTCTCTGTGAGATACCCAACAACAGCTGGCCCAACATCCCAACAGAAAAACTTACATTGTTCTCTGTGAGATACCCTACAACAGCTGGCCCAACATTCCAACAGGAAAACTTACATTGTTATCTGTAAGATACCCAACAACAGCTGGCCCAACACCCCAATAGGAAAACTTACATTGTTATCTGTGAGATACCCAACAACAGCTGGCCCCAGGAATCCAGGTATGGTGGCAAAACAGTTGGTCACCCCCATCAACACACCTGAAACAAAGAGGACTTCTATCACATTCTTAAATGATTTTATTCAGAAACGAATATCTCTATAGCGGGGGGGCCCAACAAAAGTTGAAAAATAAAGAGTCCTTACACAAGAGTTTACGAGATGTTGGCCTCATCCTTGTTAGAGATGGTCTTTTTAAAAAGTACAAGCTAATGAAGAGGTGTGGTCAAATGTTTTCACACAGCCAGTGATAACAGTGCTTGAGGGCTGGCAGTCTTTTCTCTATATTAAACGCTACTGCAGTGTCATGTTCTATTGGCACTACTGCAGTGTCATGTTCTTTTGGCACTACTGCAGTGTCATGTTCTATTGGCACCACTGAAGTGTCATGTTCTATTGGCACTCCTGCAATGTCATGTTCTATTAGCACTACTGCAGTGTCATGTTCTATTGGCAGCTTGCTTAGTTTCATATCTGGTGTTTAAAGATGGTAACAACCATCACATTACATACCATCCTACAAAAGAACATTGTCTGTTTACGTCTAAAAAAACTGCTAGAAACAAGGGCATGAATTTTACCACATAATGGTAGGCTAACGATAGCCTTCAAAGGATAGACTTTAGAACCACTGACATAATGGTAGGCTAACGATAGCCTTCAAAAGATAGACTTTAGAACCACTGCCATAATGGTAGGCTAACGACAGCCTTCAAAAGATAGACTTTAGAACCACTGACATAATGGTAGGCTAACGATAGCCTTCAAAAGATAGACTTTAGAACCACTGCCATAATGGTAGGCTAACGATAGCCTTCAAAAGATAGACTTTAGAACCACTGACATAATGGTAGGCTAACGACAGCCTTCAAAAGATAGACTTTAGAACCACTGACATAATGGTAGGCTAACGATAGCCTTCAAAAGATAGACTTTAGAACCACTGCCATAATGGTAGGCTAACGACAGCCTTCAAAAGATAGACTTTAGAACCACTGACATAATGGTAGGCTAACGATAGCCTTCAAAAGATAGACTTTAGAACCACTGCCATAATGGTAGGCTAACGATAGCCTTCAAAAGATAGACTTTAGAACCACTGCTTCAAAAGATAGACTTTAGAACCACTGACATAATGGTAGGCTAACGATAGCCTTCAAAAGATAGACTTTAGAACCACTGACATAATGGTAGGCTAACGATAGCCTTCAAAAGATAGACTTTAGAACCACTGACATAATGGTAGGCTAACGATAGCCTTCAAAAGATAGACTTTAGAACCACTGACATAATGGTAGGCTAACGATAGCCTTCAAAAGATAGACTTTAGAACCACTGCCATAATGGTAGGCTAACGATAGCCTTCAAAAGATAGACTTTAGAACCACTGACAAAATGGTAGGCTAACGATAGCCTTCAAAAGATAGACTTTAGAACCACTGCCTAAAATGTCATTGAAAAACAGGATGAGAGATTATCACAATGACTCAGCAAATACTAAAACACAAAAAAAACAACCTTTGTACTCAAAGTTTCACTTTCAGTTTCCCGTCCCCCAGATGTGATTCTGTAGGTACCACTTTAAGTCACTCACCTGCAAACTTCGGAGCAATGTCCAGGTGGTTGACATTGTACCCACCCATTATCCCGCCACCCAGCCCCACTGACAGTGTCAGGAAGACCATTGCTAGGAGGTGGTCACAGCCGACATATCCCACGACAAGAAGAAGAAAACCAGGTGCACACACTCCTGCGGACAGAGTTCTGTTTTACTTTGCATTCGGGGCATGAAACAAACAAGTTTTTTTTTATCCTTAAGTAACTTAATAGTATATACATAATGTAACGGAAATTATGGAAACTGTTGATGTTAGGCTTACCATGAAGGTGAAATTAATTATAATCTTACAAGTTTTATAATTAAACTTCATTCATTTGTGTTTGCAGAAAGTATAGTAAAGTTTATCAGTATTCATCATAATAGTAAATTTTTATTAAATTAATGAGAACAAACTGTTTCTAAGTTATGACAATAAAGCGTGGAGACTGCAATCAGGTTGGCTAGAAGGATGTAAGTGAAACACAGTATGGGAAAACCTGAAAAGAGGATGTGACAAAACAATGAAAACGTCAACAAAAAATCCCTTTTCTGCAAATAGAACACAATAAAACAAATATAAAAATGTCAATAAACACTTAGCTGCAATGTAGCGTCAGAGGGGGACAGTAAGAAGAATGTAACAGACCATTTGTTGATAGGAGACCTAATGTAGGCATCAGGGGACAGAGCAGAGGAAATTAGGATCCATGGTGATGGATTTTAATGAGGGGGGTAGAGAAAAGATTTAACAAATGAAGGGGAACATGATATTCCTGACACAAGGTTGTGTCAAGAGCACATAAGTCTGTATTATTTTGCTCCCAAAGTTCACCCTGGCGGATGTGTAGGTACAGGACACGATGGCGGTGATGGCCAGGTCAATGAAGCTCATGTGGTCACTTCTCTTGAAGTGTTTGCTTTTTTTTTTTAGGTTTTCCCTTACTTTGTTTCACTTATTTCCTTAAATCAAATTTACCAATGCTGTTGAAAATTTTACGAGCATTTCCAGTAGACACGTATCCACGATGCCTCAGGTAATCAGCTGTGAACCCAGAGGCATTCTGCATGAGCCAGGAGCAGGCATAAGGCAGGGCGGATAGAAGGCCATTCTGGAGGAGATCAGGGAATTTATTTAATAGACATAATAGCAACTAAGGGGAAAATAGAGATTCTATCAAGAGATAACTAAGGGGAAAATAGACATAATAGAAATAGATAACTAAGGGGAAAATAAACATAATAGAAATAAATAACTAAAGGGAAAATAGACATAAGAGAAATAGATAACTAAGGGGAAAATAGACATTACAGCAATAGTTAACTAAGGGGAAAATAGACATTCTATCAAGAGATGACTAAGTGGAAAATAGAAATAGATCACTAAGGGGAAAATAGACACTATAGCAATGGATAAATAAGGGTAAAATAGACATTAATAGCAAGAGATAACTAAGGTTAAAATAGATATTATTGCAATTGATAACTAATAGGGAAAACAGACATAATAGCAATAGATAACCCAGGTATATTACAGCTACAGTTAACATAGAAACTAGAGAATTTTTTTACCTGTTTCACATTAAACTTAAGGATGTTGCTCATGTAGGTAGGAAGACTGGTCAGGAGGGTGTAGAATCCCCAGTTGGAGGTGAAATGTGCCACGATGATGGCCCACACAGCTGGACATGTTGCAATCTGTTTCCATGGTGTACTCAGGATCTGCGGTCAGCGGAAAGATAACCAAAACATAACACATTCCACACCTGGACACATTGACTGATGACCTCATTACCCTCTTGAAGATAACTAATTTAAAGTGATGCTACTACACAATAATTTTAGCTGTTCTGTAATATTTTCAAGAATTACTTATAATAAAATCAGAGGTTCTATGGTTTGTAATCTTCAGTCCCAGCAAGTGTTCCTCACCTCTTTTTTACCAATAGAACTTTCTATGTATTCTCTCTCTGTGATGGATATCCTGGGATGCTCAGCTGGTGTGTTGTGGACTAGTAACATCCAAGCCACAAACCACAGACAACCCAGGACACCTGTAACATTCAAAAATTATCAGTCTAACAAGGGGAGAAAACCCAGGAGACATGTAACATTCAACAATACTTAATATAACAAAGGGAGAGTACTGGGGGCGCCTGGAACACTGTTACTTACCATACTTACAATAAATGTAGATCCAGAAATATATTTCAACCAAACAATTCGGAGGGTGGTCTCAGTGATACAAGTACCATAGTAGAGTTACTAGTTAAAAACTAGTGCTATATATATGTGTGTATATATAGCACTAGTTATACATATATAAGTGAGGACACCTCTTGAGACAAATAAATAACTGCTTGGAAAGATAATTGTCTTTCAACAATGTTTAATAAAGACTGAAATAACACACACTCAAAAACATTTTATTTAAAAACAACACTAGCACAGAACACAGAAGTATCCATTGCTGCTTGATAACTCAAAACAACATTTTATTTACAAATCAACTCACCAAAGAAATAGAAAGCTGAGGGCCATCCCCCGGCTATGTCACTGTCACACAATATGCCAGAGATGGGAAGAGATATAACTGTGCCAAGCTGTGCTCCTGGTTCATACAGAAAGTAGGACATACTTAAAATTGAGTTTCATTTCTTTTGTTGAAAAAAAATATGATAACAATCATTAAAAAAAAATTTTGACTCAGCACATGTTTCAGCTTCTGACCTTCTCTATTCAGGAAATTGGTTTTTCCTTATTCAAATAACGATTTCAGATCACAATTTATAAGACTTGGTATTACTTTATAATTAAATATCTTCAAAATCAACACAAGTTTTTTATAGTTATTAAAGACTGGGTCTTATTTTAATTAAATATCTTCAAAATTAACACAAGTTGTTTATTGTTATCAGGAGAAAAGAGGGCCGTAAGATAAAGTGAAGGAGACTCTTGATATTCTTGTATTGTTATTCACTGCAATAATCCACCCTTCAGCATTCATAAGAAATAACAAACTGACCTGCATAGGTGAAGGCCACCAACTTGCTTCTCTCCCACACAGGGGCCCAGCTGCCCCACATAGAGTGCATAGCAGGAAAAGTCACACCCTGTTTAGGGGGGGGGGGGGGGGGAAAGCAGAAACAAAATTTATTTTTTATAACATTTTGAACATACAAAAGATAAAAAATAGCAGGAAAAGTCACACCCCGTTTAGGGGGGGGGGGGCGGAAATCAGATACATAATTTATGTTTTATAACAATTTTAACATACAAAAGTTAAAAATGTTTCATAAATATTTCTTTTTATAATCTTAGATATTTTATCTAGATAACATATCTCACTAAACTGTAAGGTAAAATAAATATTTCTAAAGCGAATCCAAAAATAATCTTTCAAATTATTTTTTTTTTTATCATATCAACAGCTTTGAACAGCTCACTGCTAGCTTCATCACTAAAGGCTATAACAAAGAATATCTTCAATCTAAAGATTTAACACATGCCCTTATTTTTACCTCTCCAATGCCTTCCAGCACCCTGACGGCTATCAACATGTAAACACTGTATCTGGCAGCAAAAGGTGTAATGATGGTCAGTATGGATGTACCCAGCACACCGTAGCCAAAAAGATTCTTGCCTCCGTACCTGGAGGCCAGCCAACCGCCAGGTAACTGTGTGATGATGTAGCCATAGAAGAATGCACCTAATATGTAACCTTGCGTCTTCTCGTCCCAGTCGAACTCTCCTGTCTGTATGATTAAATAAAAAGGCATTCTCTTTACTTTTTATAAATTTTAATTATGTTTACAATTATATGCTATCCTATATTAAGTTAAATGGGTGCAAATATATACAGAAATCTCTTTGAAAAGATTTGTTTCCCTCAAAAAGTTCCTTTATAAAGAACTTGCTTTAAAACATTTTTTTCCCCTCTGAATTAGTATTTTTTTAAAATGGAGAGCCACGGGTTTCTGAGCTTGTGTGAATTAGGGCTGTCTTGAAAAAATGTGTAAACCATTTTAACATATGAATTTGCTGTTATAATGATAAGGGACATTCTACTGACCTTTTTAGAAGATGTTGAGTTGCCACCATTGGGGTCTGGGCATTCATGGCCGGAGGTGCTGTTTGTGCTGTTGGATGTGGTGTTGACCATAGCTACAAGTGCCACACTCAGGTCCACCCGTAAACAGTAGACGTTGACAAATCCAAGGAAAGCCATAAATGCCAGGACGTGGCGAGCAGCCAGACATTGAGATCCTTCAAGACATGTTTAAGAGATTTCTTAATTTCAATGCTTCTTAAGTCATTAACAATTTTTTTTATTGCAAATGAAAACAATAAACAAACGTAGGTAACTGAATGAAATATGTATTTATATTTACTGAAAACAATTTTTTTTAAACATAACTCTTTAAAATTTGTCTCTTTGATGTTAGCCCTTCCATATTAAAAGTTGGAGACCACTGAACTTGTATAATGACAAAAAGAACCTATTTAATTTACTAGTAAATTTTCAGCACTTAAACTGTCGAAGGTTCAGTAGGTGGTTAATATTTGGGGTGGGAAAACCCAGACAATGATGTCGATAGTTGAATAAAAAAATAGTGTTGGTAAATTGTGGTTGCACACCGCATTGCCCATGACTCAAAAGGCAAACTGAACATTAACCAGTGATTTTCTATTTGTTAATGCAGCTTCAACTCAGCAATGATTTCTACCTTATAACCGAGTGGCCCTCTAGTGGACTTTAGAAAGGAAAGAGTGTCAACACTAACCAGCAGATGAGGAAGGTGGTGATGTGAAACCTAAGGGCCATAAAGATCAATTAGCCGGACTGGCCAGAGTTTTTATTTGTTTGAGTAGTTGAAAGTGGCCAACACAGAATTAATTACTAGGTTGGTTTTTTTTTACACCTTCATTTAAAAAATGTAATATCAATTTATTTCATAATTTTCTATCTTCAAATTTGGTAATTCTTTTGCCTTTTAAAAAACTATAACATTAGAGAACAAACACCATTCTGATGACCATGTCTTTATTTTTTTTGTTTTATTTATTGACATAACGCCACAAGACGGAACCAGTTTGATTCAAATTATGAATTACTTTGCTGTTTTTTCCCCATACCATTGGCTTTTGTTATAGTCACAAAATTATATTTTTTAAACCAAAACTAGCCATGAGATTTATTACCCTCTTCTCGCTGCTTCTTTCTTTCGACATCCGAGTACGATGGCAGCAAGGATGAGCTTTCATCCATATCACTCTCGTTTATCCTGGTGGGACTTCTGAGTGAACCATGGGAAGCATTGGACAGCTGACTGCCTGTCCTCTGAGATCTTGACATTTTCTCTACACCAAGCAGATAATTTATACAATTATTAAGGAGCATTTAACAAACAATTTTAAAATTATATTATTTTAAATCTGCCGATCCCTGACATTTTTAGTGTATTGTTGACCAATTACACATGGATAAATTATATTCAGTCTGGAGTATTATGCCATTGACAGCATTACTGAATTAAACATTATAAAATATCTTGCTTTCATCTATGAAGCCTTATTTATCAAACAAACAAATAGATTATTTCCTCATATGCTAACCTCAAATATAGTTTTTTTATCAGCTATCTAAATACATTCTAAATGCTAGCAGAGACATAAAACTAAGACTTGGGTACAATGTCATTATCATCTTGTGTAACACATGTCTCACTTCCACAATCTGAAATTTGTTATCTTCCAAAAATTTAATAATTAATTCTGCTGATAAAAAAAGGGAAGTACAACATTAGAATTTAAAAGGAAAAACATTGTTGATTTGAAGGATGTGGGCACATCACTTCAAATCCCCTCAAAAACTTTTTATAAAATGTTTGAGATTTCTTTCAAATTTTGAATACCTCTCAAATGTATAACTTAGTCCTGTTGGCTATCTTTTAAGTGCCACTCTCTTTTTCTGGAGCACATTTAAATTTTCTTAAGTTATCTAATGTTTCATCAAATCAATCCAAAATATCTAAATGAGAATTACATTTCTTTAAATCACTCATTAATCATTTGATTAAATTATATGTTTATTTTCAAGTGAATTAAAATTACAACTATTTTTTAAAATGTTATAAATTTATTTTTACTTTTTTTTAATCACAAGATATAATCACATAATATGTAATCTTACCTGTCTAAAATACTTAATCCAGATTAAAATGGCTGCATCTTTTAGATCTAAAAACAACAATGTATAAATATGAAAATTTTAAATGCTTGATTTCTCATATCCATAATGATGGAAATAGCAAGATAGCTCAATACATATTATCTTGTACAATTTATCTTTGTATGAAATAATTTATAAGTATAAACACTGGCTCATCCTGAGGAGATAATTCCATTCTGATAAGGTAAATTATGTTATCTAGCGACAGGCATTTTCAGATTTTCTCAAACTTGTGTTTTCAGACCCCAATAAATAAAAAAAAATTGGAACTAAATTATTGGGATGATGAGCATGTTGATAGCTGCACATTTTCTCAATACTTGAAATAAAACTGAACGCAGGCACCCTCATCCTGTCATTTCCTTCTCCACAAAGATTTTCACATTTGTTTAGTTTCTATCACAGCGACCCAGTTTTATAAAACTGAATAGAAAATAAATTTACTAAATGTTTTTAATATTTGGCAGGCCCCTCTCAGGAAGCCACTACTACCTACAGAACCATGTTATGCATATTGGAAACCCTAAACTAGTACTAGTAGCCTATCAATATGCCTATATAGCACATGCTACAAAGAGGCCTTTCAAAACAAAAGAAAACAAAAGAAAAGCATTGATAAAATCATTTTAAAAATTTAAAAATTTCTTAATCTGACACCTTATAATTATTAATTAGGGCTCAATAAACTTATGAAGTTGAAAGACTTGCACATCAATGGAGAACTCTCTCATGAAGACTATACTTTTCTACACTAACTACACAGTTACAAAATACATCAGTATAGACAGTGTTTGGAAAACTAATTAGTCAAAAGAGCCAAAAATCAGCAGCAGAACGATTAAAAAAAATTTTTAACACCAAATTTCTTTTCAAGAACCTATCAAGAACCATGTTTTTCGAAGTCAAAACCTATTTGTGGCCGACTGGCGGAGCTGCACTCAGGTCGTTAAAGACCACTGGTATAGAGACTATAGAATAGATATGATTTAATTTATTTATGGCATATGGGCGGGCTACTATTTAAATTTTAAATTCTCAGTAGCATTAGTGCCACTAAATAAAGTAATACTTTTAATTAAACTTAGACTAAAATCAGGAAATCTAATTTTCTAAGTTCAGTTATTGAACTTAATTTAATAGTTTATTGATTTAAATGTCTATACCAGTGGTTCTTAACCTTTTTGGAGGTACCAAACCCCACCAGTTTCATATGCACATTCACCGAACCCTTCTTAATAGGAAAAATAAAATATGATTTTTTTTCTGATTTTTTTTGGACCTCCGCCGAACCCCTGAGACTGACTCACCAAACCCCTGGGGTTCGATCGAACCCAGGTTAAGAACCACTGTACTATACTATAATATTATTATTATGTATAAGTATAGTCATGGCCATGGCCATAGCCTATACTAAGATATAGACTATAAATTATAAACTATAACTAGCCTACTATAACTATAACTGTAGGTATAGCTAATAACTATATTATAAAGGCTAATACTATCAGTATATAGAATATAGTAGCCTATGCCTATAAGTTATAGGCTTAGGCTACTATATTCTATATACTGATATAGTCTACTAAGACTTACTTATAATAATATAACTATTAACTAAAACTAAAACACTATAGTAAATTTTAAATAGCCTTTAATAATACCTTACTATTAGACTATTGACTGTATAATTTATACTTCACGAAACAGATGAACTTACAATGTTGGTGATCTTATTTGTTCCAGATAATATTGAAAGCCGTTTGCTTAAAAGTTTCAAATGAAAGTCACCTGATTACATTTCTCTAAGCCACCCACTGACACTGCTTACCCAGTTGAGTTCTACAGTAAACATTGGAGATAGTTAAGAGTAGTGTCCCCTTATCATTGAACTTTCTTTGGTGGTGTTTAAATATTTCTTGTTTTGAAATAGATAAATTATCATAACGAACCCCGTTCTAGATTAATCAGTTACGTGATGTAAAGTGACACAGACGTTATGTTTTAATAGTACACACTGAGTTTTATAAAGTTTAAAATTTTAAAATAGTATGAGACATTATTGGGCAGGAGGAGAGCATGCACGGACCCCATCCAAAGCCAAACCCCATCCAAACTTAAAATTATAATATAAAATAAATATTTTAAAACAAGTAATGTCAGTTGGAAATTTTAAATTTTTTAAAAAGTAATTAAGAGGGGAGGAAAATTAAAATACAAAAAATCATGTAACCTAATATTAAAGATAATAATTGATAAGTCATTTATTTAGCAATAACGGCAACACCTTGCTTTACTTACTGACATCTTACTCTTACTTATTATTAACACGATTTTATTTATCTTTACTATCATTTGTCTAACCCAGGGCAGGAGTTACTCAGCTATGTTGGGAATAAAACCTTGTTTTATTATCTTTTCAAGAAATAATTGGATTGTAATGGCTTTAAGCAGGGTCGACATTTGGGTAGGGTAGGTGGGGCATCCCCTCCTCCCCTTCCTCCTCCCCCCCTCCCCGAATTTGCAGGTTTTATTTAAATTGCCATGTACTGTGGTGCCTCCAGTAATAAACAACATAACCAGAGTCCAAGTTTTGGTTTTGAAAAAAAAACGTGAAATGACGCCCCTGAGTTTCAGATTGAATAAAAATATTTTTCGTGATTTTATTTCAGGGTATTAATCATAAGTGTCTATCTCCTAAATGTTATGAAATGAGATTTAAAGATATTTTTAAAGTTTCCACAAAGTTTCAAATGAATGCAAGAGGCTCTAAACTATATTTTCCTTAAAATAGCCAAAGCTATACACAGGCTATTCCAAAAAGCTGTAATTAAAAAAATATCCATTAAAATCTAGAGGGTAACGAGAAAATAAAACCTATGTTCACATTTAATGGACTCGAGGGACGTTCAAATGAAGTTATTTTTTTGGTGTATTCATTTTGAATAGACGTAAGCCTTTCCTCAGAACGGTGCACCTTCAAACATGAACGGTGGCTTTTTATTGGGGGCACCCATTTTAAATAAAGCTTTAATCCAATTAGTGTTTTCAAAAAATAGTGCATTAGAATTATGACAGAGTTCAGGCGCGTACGTAAAGGGTGATTTGGGTACCGAGGGTCGAGAGCCATGGATGTTCTTTTATTAAAGTTAATTATCAACTTTATTAAATATCAGATGTGTATGTGTGTGTGGAAGGGAGAATCGCTAGTTTGTGATTTAGCCACAAATCATCATTTAGTAAAACTACGTCCCTGAATAGCAGGGTGCATTCATTATGAGGATAAAAATCTCTCAAAGGCACCATTTGCCAAAGACACATGTCCTGTCACTATTTCAGTCCAAAGTAGAGTTTCTAGTAAGCTAACTGATACAACAATGTAATTCGCATAACTGCAGTTACGTCACAGTTTTATTTAATGTATTTATATACATTAAGTGAGTTTCCAAAATTTTAGCACAAATTAGAAATTCTATTCAATAAGAGCCCCTCATAACATCATGTTTCTTTCTTTTTTTTTTTTTTTTTTTTTTTTTTTTTTTTTTTTTTTTGTTGCTTATTTTATGTGAAACGCAGTGAGCCCAGCCCTAGGCTGGGGTACCGTGCTATATAAGACCACTTGAATAATTATAATAATTACACAGTTGACCGATAAGTTACAGCTACTTAAATAGTTTAATATAATCTAATTAACAGCCTATTTAAAATATTAGAACTCTCTGTTAAAATCCATGATTTTTGATTGGCTACTTGCTTACAACTTAACAACACCAGCAGGTGTGATGACTCATTGCATTTCAGGTTAGTGTCAACTCAATTGACTTCATTGCTGTGTTATCACTGATGTTCTATATCTTGTAAGTTCAAATTGTGGGCTCACATTCTATCAGTGTCTGAGCCCTTCGTCAAGTTCGGAGTAGCAGCCGCTGCAGTCAAGTTAACGTTTGCGACATCACATTCACATACTCGCCTCTAGATATAAAGCTCTTGCATAGTAAAATAAAAATGCGCCTAGAACCAACGACCTGGACATTGCATTCGCCCCCCCCCCCACCCCCCACCCCAAATAAATCCATGGTAAATAAATTTGAATAAATTGCAAGTTTTTTGTACATTCATTTATTTCCGATCTAATGACGCACTTTATTCGTGCCCCAGCATCACGGTTGCAACAGAAGTTTTAACAGTATTCGCATAGTATTATACAAACACCCCCACATTGAGAGATTAGTGTCGCCACACCACTATATATTTTATGATTGTATAGTTATGTACTAGGAAGATGCCATGAATAGATTCCTTATTTGGTGATAGCAAAACCACTGTATGTGCATGAGTATGTACTGATAGCAGCGTCGTGACAGGCAGTATCGACGCTCAGGGTGAAACCAGCATATATATTGTCACCATCTTCCCCCAAAATTGTATATTTATACTAATAACTGTGTTGAAAAACGACGATTTTGGTGCCTTCTGAAGACGACACCTGGGGCGGATTTGTATGTTATTGGTGCGCATAAAGAATTTTAAGAATTATGGTTTTTATCTTTGAAAAATCTATAAAAATTGAATTTCGCTACACTTGAATACCTAGTGTACACAAGTGACTAACTGTATAAACGCTCACCCACTTGAGTTAACAATGAGATAGAGTGTTCTGTGACAAGCTAATGATGAGTTAGCTATGAGATTGAGCGTTATGTGACAAACTATGATGAGTTAACAATGAGATTGAGTGTTCTGTGACAAACTATGATGAATTAAGATGAATTAACAAGGAGATTGATTTTTCTGTGACAAACTATGATGAATTAACAATGAGATTGAGTGTTCTGTGACAAACTATGATGAATTAACAATGAGATTGAGTGTTCTGTGACAAACTATGATGAGTTAGCAATGAGATTGAGTGTTCTGTGACAAGCTATGATGAGTTAACAATGAGATTGAGTGTCCTGTGACAAACTATGATGAATTAACAATGAGGTTGAGTGTTCTGTGACAAACTATGATGAGTTAACAAGGAGATTGATTGTTCTGTGACAAACTATGATGAGTTAACAACGAGATTGAGTGTTCTGTGACAAACAATTATGTACGAATGTCAGTCATATTATTAAAAACAATTTACGTTTCACAATTATTAAAAATGTACTTTACACTTCTGCACACGTACTTAACACATCTGCATAAACACTTTACACATTTACAACTGTCCAAGCTGATCTATAACAATTTCAGGATTTTAAGTACAGAGTGATGTCATGCTGTTGACATTACACATTCATTTTTATCTCTAATAATAAGATGAGATAAGATAATCGCCTGACATTTTTGTTTCAAACTCTCCTTTTTTTTTTTCGTGGAGTTTTCTTATCCCCCCACCCCAAACTCTCACCCCCCCCCCTTTGAACCTTCAAATCCTCTTTTTTGTGTAAGCAACATTTAACACTTCTCTCAACATTTTATAATTTATATTATTAATTAATAATAAAAAGTGAGCTAAATATATTTTTTAAACAATAATTTAAATTAACGANCCCCTCCCCCCCCCCCGCCAATTGCTTGACTTGAAATAGTGGGGTAGGAAAGTAGGGCGAAGGGGGTAGTCCTCCACAGGCAGTACTTTCTTTTTCTTTATATTGTGGGGTGGCATTTACAACAAACTGCACATTTTGTTTCATGTTAAGGGGAGAAGAAACGTTCCTCCAGCCCGGGGTGGCTGACTTTATGCAAAAGAACAACTTAAATCTTAAGCAGACATTTACAAAAACAAAACGAAACCTCTTACTAATCTTACTCTTGATTTGTCGAATTTTTCTCTCATAAAATTTTATACATTTTATGTGGAAATCTTTCAATTTTTTAAGACATTTTAGAAAATCAGTAAACTCCAGATGTATAAGTTCCTGTTTGCGCTTCCCTTCCCAACCATCCCCAACGCTGGTCTCCCGCTTGGCAGCTTTGTCTAGTGCAGTCATAAAGCTCGAGGCATTCCTTAGTGGAACTGGATTGCTTTTTGTAACCGCAATGCACGTGGTAAACATTGGTACTTTAAAAGAAAATATTTACAAAATGTGTTTCAAACTTGGAACTTTATAAGAGATAACGCCATATTACACCGAGTTGTCGCTCTTTTCACGTTCCTTGATCGATTATCTGAGTGATGAACGATTCATACCAAGTGACCATAAGAGCCTCCTGAATTCGATTAGAACGGTAACCTCGCTCCCAACTTCAGTGACCTACAATTCCTTCTCAAGATCCACGACAAGTAGATCTGTTTCATCTTGGAGTTATACATTGCATCAATAGCATTAAAGATCTCCTCTTACCAGGAAATAGAGAAGCAATGTAGCATGACATTACTGATGAGTGAAAATAATATTCCCTGTCATCAAATTATACCCAACCATGGGCGCTTTTTACGTAATAGTGAAATGACCTTATACTAACAGAAAATAACCAACTTTTAAAGAAATCATATTTGGAGACATTGTGATCCAGCTCTCAGATGAAGAAACGGGGAAACACACAAGTGAAAATTTGATAAACGGGCGTCACAGTGCAACGAACATATCACACAGAGACTCACGCCTGCTTCAACAAATAAAAAATGAGGACAACTAAAAAATAAAGGCTACTTTTCTTTGTCTCTTCGTGTTAGCGCGTAGGCTAGTTGCTCATAATTTTGTTATACACAATTAATTATCGATGGAAATTCAATGATTAAGAAGCAGACAAGGGGTTTCGTGTCCGGTCTGATATCAAGATTTAAGAAAAGATGCAGCGATCAACACATTCAGCCATCCCAATTAAAATGAGTTCAATTCTTTTTCATTTACAATA